AATGCTGATGCTGGTTGAATGCTTTGTGCGTGCTGAGCACCGTATTTCACAAGCACAATCCTCTTTTACCCTCTCAGCAGCCCCAGAGGTAGATACTATATATTGTCTCCATTTTTCGGATGAGGAAACTGAGGCACCGAGAGGGTAAAGCCTGGTGCAGAGCCTGGGTCTGAATCAGAGTCTGGCTTCGGGCCGCACCACGGGGACTGCCTCCCGTGCCCTCTCTCACCCCTTTCTCCCTTTGTGTTGCTTGTACTTCCTTCCCGGGGCACCGTTGCCCAGCCTGAGTGACCCGGTCATCGCCTTCCCAGCCTTCCTGGAGGCCCCAGAGAATTTCCTCTGGGAGACGGTGCTTAGGAACAGAGAAGGCCCAGTCTCCCTGGGCCAGACTTGCTGTCTACACACTCAGTGAAGCACGGCCCGCCCTGGGACTGTGGACTCACTTCCTGCAGGTGAATTCATACAGGCTTCACATGCACACCTCCCATTTCTCCATCCAAGGGACTGCTGTGTGGACGTTCCCCAGCCTGCCTTGCTGGGTTCAAATCCTGGCTCCACCACTTACTAGTTGTCTGACATTGGAGAAATTATTTAGTCTTGCTAAGCCTCAGTTATCTCATCTGTAAAATGGGGACAACAATTGTACCTGCCTCATAGAATTATAGTGAAGATAAACTGAGTTAATGCACGTGAAGCTCTTAGAACAATTGCCTGGCACAGAGTAACTGGTCAGTGAAATGAGCTCTGGCCGTTGTAGTTGTCCTCTGTACTCTCATCCTGCACCAGGCCCTGCAGGGTAAGATGCTCCCGGCCCACAGGGGCTCGCACGGCCATCGGGGAGACAGACGTGGGGTGCTCACCACCCCAGTGGGACGGGAGCTGACAAGCCACAGGCAGGGGGGGGGGGTGGGGGGGCGGCAAGAGAAAAGCCACAGGCAGGTGGAGGGCCGAGGGCCCTCCATATATGAGCGCTGGGCAGCACCCCAGTTGCCTTTGCAACCCACCAGCTCAGCAGATCCTTGACACAGCCGGGGAGGTAGGCACTGTGAACCCCAGTGTGCACATGGGGAGACTGAGACTGGAGTCACCTCACTGGCAGCACCACCAGAATCCACACTCCTTCCTCATGGGAACTTTCGACCTCTTCAGCCTGCACTGAAGCCTGCACTTTCTCACCTAGAAGCAGTGTTTAGGTGACCCTTTGTTTAACCCTCACAAGAACTCCCTGAAGGATGCTGGGTGGCATTTATTTATCCTGAGGAAGAAACAGGGTCAGAGAAGTTCAGTAACTTGCCCAGAGTCATATAGCTTGAAAACCAGGTGTGTCCGGCCCTGCGTCTTCTTTGACTGTGCCTCATAGGTTCATGGATTCATCAGACCCCCCTCAAAATTTCTGCTCTGCGCCAGGCTCTGTGCAAGGCTCTGGGGTAACAGCGGTGGATAAACCATACAGGATTCTTGCCCTCAAGTGAAGAAGAGATTAAATGTAAATAAACGTAGTTACAAGGGACAAGAGAAGCATAGGATTCGGGACAGTGATGTGGAGGCCGGGGCGGGGTACCCCCAAGCCTGGGAGGTCAGGGAGGGCTTCCCTGAGGAGGTGACATCTAAGGTGACATCTAAGCCACGCGCTAAAGGGTGAGAAGGATTTGGCCAAGCACAGGACAGGGAAGTCTTGCATATCACCCCTGTCCTAGAGAACCCACTCTGTGGCACATCCAACCAGTCATTTTCATAGAAAAGACCCTCAAGGTCACTTTCAGAAAAAATGGATCAGCAAGTGTCCATGACATCAGAATGATGTTCTGTACATGAGATGCCAGAGGCTCATCAGAGTCAGCAGAGAGGGCTCAGCAGTGTCCATCTGGAGGGGGGAGCAGAGTTTTAGGTGGAGCGAGAGACCCACGATAGGTTTAGGAAGGTGGGGGCTGACCCAGGCCGGTGGGTGTCATAGAAAGAGCACCCACCTGCCATGTGGAAGACCGGCCGTGAGGCAAGGCTGCAGGTAGGAAGGTGAGGAAAGGGCTGCAGCCAAGGCCAGGGGGCAGGAGGGGAAGAGAGGAAGGAGAGGGGCAGCCTTGCGTTGCTGTCTGCTGCTATAGAACAGGACAGTAATAGCCTTTCCGCTTGGCCCTTATGGCGGAAATAGGATTTTTTAAAGATGTAGAACACGTAGCCGAGGATTTATCTATCCATCCATCATCCATTCAACAAGTAATTATTGAGCACCTACTATGTGCCAGGTCTTGCACATATCGGTGAGGATGATCGTGGTCCCTGCCCACCTGAAGTATTGTATAGTCTAGAGGGGAGGACAGAAATGAATCAGATAATCGTACAAATGAATGTCAGATAAAACCCTGACGTGCAGCCATGTGAGGGACTATTCTAGCACTCTTGCCTCTACAGCCACTGTCCTCTTGGGTTAGAAACCAAGTCTTTAGATAGTCAATCCCGAGGCAGCAGTGGACAAGCTTTCCTCAGAGCTTCTTAAGAGTGTGCAGTTGTGTTAAGCGCTCGATAAACATCAGCGACCTGAGACCAGGATCAGGGTCAGGTCACCCACTGTTCCTGGAGTGGCCCTCGCTGCAGGAGCCTGTCCCCTCCTACCTCTCTGACCTCTTCCCTTTCCACTCCTCACCCCCTTCCTCTCTAGGGCTTCACGGGCTCTGTTTCTCAGTCTCCAGACTCCTGTGTTTGCATGAGCTACTGGCGTGATTAACTTCCCACTTTCCTACAAATCTTGGTGTCAGTGTCACTTCCCCCAGGAAGTCCTCCAGGATGCCTACCCCAGCAGCCCCTGTTAACCATGCCCATGATGACATGCTCCATGTATCGGGCATACTTTGTCCTGCTTTAGATTCTCCTCGAGGCTTACCTGGTTTCCCATTGTCCTCAGAGGAGAGGTGGGACGTGGCCTTCAGCCCCTGCCAGGGGGACACAGCTGGGCCGGCTGCCATGAGGAGGAGTGTCTTCACAACTGCTATATGTTCCCCACAGCAGACAGGGTCGGAGGCCAGCAGCCCTGGGTCCTCTTTCAGAGGGCTGTGGGGGTCTCAGGAGGAGCATGCTGAGACCCAGCTCGGCCTTTGCTTGAGTTTTCTGTGTCCCTTAATGGAAAGAGCCGTTCCATGTAGGCTTGAGGTCAGACAGACCTGAATTCAGAGTTCAGTTCAGCCACTTACCAGTTGTGAGATGCTGGACAAATGTTGGTGCTTCTCCAAGCTTTGGTTTGCTCTTCTGTAAAATGGGCCCATGGTCCATCATTAGGGGCATTAAACGAGATGACGCTAAGTACCCAGGACTGAGTGTCTCATAGTAAGTGCTCAAGATGGGAAGCAAACTAGTGCCTACCATGTGTCAGGCCTCCGCCGCGTCTGTATCTTGGTCCCCACGACGTCTCTACGAGACAGACCATGCGGGATCCCCGTTTTACACACAGGTAAGGTCCCTAGACCAGGTTGCACCTGGCCATTCTCCCACAGCCAGGACCAAGCCTAGAGGTGGTAGCATCCTGGGGTCAGCCCCTCACTGTGCTTCTCCACAGGTCCAGAACGTCCACGGAGCTTTCAACGCTCTCGGGGGAGCAGACAGACTCTTCTCCAACCGTATGTACCCCATACCCACACTGGGAACAGCTTTCTGCCCCAAGACTCCCAGTGCAGCAGGGAGGGAGCCGGGTTGGAGAGGGAGGGAACGTTTACCAAGCCCTCGCTGTAAGCCAAGCTGTTAATGCTGCATTCCCACAGCTAGCCTGTGAGGAAGTGGAATTATCCCCATCTCACAGAGAAGGGAAGAAAAGTGACTTGTCATGGCAGTCCTAGGCACATCATCACTGCTCCATGTATACCGGATGTTATCATTATTATTATCGTTACTGCCACATAATTGTTGTCGGTTGAGATAATCACCCTAGATCCCACAGGGAGTGGTGACAGAGCCAGAATTCATCCTGGCTCCAAGTGGCACCGTGAGAACAGGGCTGTGGGTGGCTCAGCCAGATCTGGCTACCTGGGGTGCCCCCCCCCCCCCCCCCCCCCCCCCCCCCTCGCCAGAGCCAGAATTCATCCTGGCTCCAAGTGGCACCGTGAGAACAGGGCTGTGGGTGGCTCAGCCAGATCTGGCTACCTGGGGTGCCCCCCACCCCACCCCCTCCTCCTGCTTCAGCCCCTCCCACCCACAAATGGCCCCTCCCTGAGCCTCCTCCCCGCTGGGCTCCCTGGCACCTTGGCCCAGATTAAAGAGCGTGCCACATCTTTACAGACCTGCAGAAGAGCACACATACCAACACACCTGTGCAGACGCACGTGGGGCCTTGCACAGAACGGGCCTGGGAGGTCTGTCTGTTCAAGCCGATCCACCCACTGGGTTCTGTAGGACAGGTTACCGAGACTTTTATTTCCTCACCTGAGCTCACCTTTTCACCCATATGTCCTTAATCATTGCTTAAAATACATTCACAGGCAGACCTCGGAGACATTATGGGATCAGTTCCAGGCCACCTCAGTGAAGTGAATATTGCAATAAAACAAATCACAGGAATTTTTTGGTTTCCCAGTACATAGGAAATTTATGTTTACACTACACTGAAGTCTATTTAGTGTGCAGTAGCATTATGTCTTCAAAAATAATGTAAATACCTTAATTTAAAAATACTTTATTGCTAAAAAATGCTAACCGTCATCTGACAACACAGGGTTATCACAAACCTTCAATTTGTAAAAACAAACAAACAAAAAAAACCCACAGTGTCTTTGACGGGCAATAAAGTGAAGCAATGAAACGAGGTGTGCCTGTACTCTCTACCAGCCTAAGCATGGAATGGAATTGGGATAATCCAAGCAAAAGAGGACTACCCTCCATGACCTGCCCCAACAAATCAAGCTTCTCATTTCTCCGTGTCCCTGGGAATCCTTGCCCGTGAGCAGAAATCATTTTTTCCAAGCAGCTTACCTTCTGATTTTTGTGCCTGGTGTTATATCATAACCACAATTCGTGTACAGTTTTTCCACTGGTAATGGAGGCACGGTTGCCCATCTAGCAGCTCTGTTGTGCTTTAAGGCACTGTCTTTTCACGGAAGACGTCTGTGGTTTCTACCTTTTCACCATCGCAGTAACGCCTCTGATATTTACAAGACTTGCTTTACATTTACCCTATTGTTTCCCAGCTGGGTCCGTACCCACTCATGCCGCTTCCCCGCAGCGTGTCAGTGTGTAACTGCGCCCCCTGGTTTTTACGCAGATGTCTGATTATACTGGAGGGAGACGATTCTTCGTGTGGTGGGGTGTTCATCGTGGTTCTGCGTGCGGGCAGCGTGTTGTCCCGAGGGGCCTGTCCCCACCTGCTTGCAATTAGCCTGGACCTCTCAGCTGCCTGATATTGGAAGAAAATCAAGCTAGGAAGGCCCCAGGGTGTGCAAGCTGATGGAGGGTGTGGGCAGAAAACCTTTCCTGCTCCTGGGCTACTGACGAAAGCCATCTCAGGCTGGCTTCAGTGGAAAGAGAGATGCATGAGATGCACCAGACAGCCAGGCTAGAGCGGGCTCTCATTTCCTCAGCTCTCAAGCCTGGTACCCCACCCCCCACCCCGTCCCCGCCGCTTGTCCCTCTGCTCCCAGGTCCGCCATGGGGGGCTGCTTCTTGTCATTCAGGTCTCAGCTCAAATGCCACCACCTCAGAGAGACCCTCCCTGACCACCTTTTGTACAGTAACCCCCATGCCTAGCAGCACACCTGTTTTTCTTCCTAGCACAGACCACTCTGTATGAAGATACTGGCAGTGACTCTGTTGTACCAAAGGCCTTAAAATTGGTCATTGCCTTTGAGTCATCAATTCTACTGAGAGGAGAGTAAGCTAAGGAAACAAATGAGGGAGTGTGCAAGGATTTAGGAAAATAATGGTCGTTTAGGTCATTGTTTATAAGAGTGAAAATGAGCCACAGCGTCAGTGTCTGGCCCCAGGGGCCTGGTTGAGCACACTGTGCATGGCCTTGCTGGGGGATGAGTGCAGTGACCGTGAGGTGTCAGAACCTCACTGGTGTTCAGGCAGCAAGCAGCTATCGAGCACCTGCTATGTGCCAGGCGCCGTGCGAGGGGATATGGCGATGGGTAAAACCAATGCCGTAGACCTTGCGCTGTATCTTAGACCTGAAACAGCATCCGTGGTGTTCAGTTCTCAGAAGAAGGTTCAGTATGATCCAATTTTATATTTATGTTTAGGGAAATAGAAATAAAAGTATAAATAGAAGTCTAGCAGTGCATACATGAGAATGCGAATCGCCGATTTTCTGTGGAGGGTGGCTTTGTGGGTGATATCTTTTTTCTTCACGATCATCTGTGTGTTTTACAAATTTGAACAGAACTATTACAGGTGTGATTTTCATAAGGCATTCACTCTCTCGTTCCTTCAGGTTTTTAACGCGGGGCCGTGGGCATTTGGAACTCCGTATTTCAAGTGTGGTCTCTGTGCTCCTGGCTTAAAATGCAGATTGTGAGCCCCACCCCAGACCCACTGAACAGAACCCTTGGGGTGAGGCCCGGGTGTCTGCCTTTTAAATCCTGGGTGACCCTTGTGCTCCTGAAATCTGAGCACCGGCGGGGTTGAGCAGAGGGATGTTGGGGTCTTCATGGGCTTAGGCCTGAGGCTGCAGGACTTTTCCCAGGTTTTTAGAGGAGTCGGGTCTCAAGAGGGTTCAAGAAACACCACCCTTTCCTTACCAAGACGCAGTGTTGGCAGGAAGGGGCTGTGAACACCATCTACATCCCCTACCCTTTCACAGAAGATGAGTCCAAAGACTCCGGACTGACTCAGCCAGGAGACCAGGATTAGAGCCCACAAGGCTGAATTTCTGTGTTGTTTTAGCTGCGTGGTCCCTGACCCGAGATTCTAGAAGGCAACAATAGAGGGGTCTGTGAGCTTCTCCCAGTATCCCAGAAGGCCCAAGGGAATATCACCTTTCCCGGGATGCTATTTAGCAGCTTTGGGCCAGCATTCTATCAGCCTAGTGTTTGATTCCGGTTACCTCATGCTTATCAGAAGCTGATTCATCTGTTCTTCTATTCATGCCTCTGCCCAGTCAGCCCTCCATCCATTCATTCATTCAATAAGCATTTGCCACTGTCCACTTCGTACCAGGCCTTGCGCAGGGTTCTAGGGACACAGAGATGAGGAAGGCTCAGTCCCTGCCCTCCGTAGTCTCCCCCATCCAGTGGGGAAGGGGTAAGAGTTACAGTGGAATATGACAGGACCAGGTGGAGGAAGAACTGATCTCCCATTAATTGAAAATGGGGAAAGAGATTAATCAGTCATTATAGATAGGTGCCGTTTTTCTGGTTGGTGGATTCTTTTTTAAAACTTGAACCCAGTTTTTTCCAAAAGTAACAATATTCAAACAGGACGAGAGGGTGCACAACAAAATGTGACCTTTATGAAATCCTGCCTCCTGTCCCGCCCCCCCCACCAGAGGCTAAAACCGCTAATAGTTTCTTGGGCATCTTTTCAGAAAATTCTTCTCTACATTCTTCACGCAGGTAGAGGAGTGAGTCTTCCCTGCCCCCAATACATGGAAACACGTTATTCACCCTGGTCCCTAACTTAGTTCTTTTCACTCAATGATACCCCCCCCTTGGAGAGTGGCCTCTTCCACACCCCCTCCTCAGCAGCTGCCCTGTGGATGGACATTAGGGTTGTTACTAGAATTTAACATTATATACAGTGCAGGAGTAAAGATCCTGACCGATGGAGTCTTTCAATTCCTGGTGCCCAAAGGGAGAAATGAAGAGGGGTCGTTTGGTGGTGAAATTGTGCAGACTGAGTGCCTCCCCACACCCCGCGATGGCAAGCAGGTTTAGGGTTGAAACGAGCTGCCGGCCGGGCAGTACCCGGCCCCCTGCCTCATGCTGCTGTGTCCTTCCCACAGCCCTCGCCTCCCACGACTACATCTTGAAGATCGTGCCCACGGTTTACGAGGACAAGAGTGGCAAGCAGCGGTACTCTTATCAGTACACGGTGGCCAACAAGGTACACGGGTGGCAGCTGCGTGCAATCGCGCCCTCTGCTGGCTGAGAGCCGAGGTGACAAGTGTCTGGGCGCGATCTCCTCTGATTCCCTTCAACGGGCCTTTCCTGGAGGGGTGATCTACCCTGGGCAAAGACGGAAGGCCAGTCTCAGAGTCAAGGGGAGGAAATCGAACCGGGACGTAGAGCGTGATCTGTTGGAGAAAGAGCAGGCAGGTGGCCTGTCCCAAAGGTCTAGGGCTTGCAGACATCTCCGCTGCCCTGTATCTGGCCCTGATTATTCAGGCACGGGACCCTGATTGGTTAGCACGCAGCAGATGCTCTGGCTCGTGGGGCACAAGCTCGTTATCCAGAATCATGAGGCTCTGGAATTACACCAGATGGCTGTTGGTTAACAGGTACGTCCCAGGACCCCAAGACTCAAATTCACGGAGATGCAGGCAGGCCTTGGTGGGAAGCAAAGCACAGTCAGAGCCAGCAGAATGGGGTGACAGACAGTGGTTTCAAGCCAAGACAGCCTCAGTCTCCCTGGAGATGACCCTGCCATGGGACATGAATGCTTGAAGCCCATTGGTTGAGGCGTCCCCAGTAGACCCCTTTACACCAGGACTCTCCTTCTTTTTCTGTTCCAGGACCACCCAGACCCCTTAAGGTGATATATTGTTTGGCTCTAATAATAATAATAGTAAGAGTAGTAGCTATCATTTATGGATTACTTACCATGGGCTGCACATTATGCTAAGCTCTCTACCTCCACCATCTTTTCCAGTCATCAAGGCAGCTCTGACATTGGGACTATTATTGTCCCCATTTTACAGGTTTGGCCACTGAGGCACTGAGAGGTGGTCCTGGAGCTATAACATGGCTGGACGGGGATTAGAACCAGCTTCTCCTCCAGTTCCAAAACCTGGTCTCTTGATCACATCACCTGTTCAGTCTGAACCAGGGGCCTCCGAGTCTGCCAGGCTGGGAGCTACTCTCTCTTGGGTGCCTTGGGGTCCCTCTACTCTGCTCCACCTGCACTGATGCTCTGGTGTAACTCTCCGAGGCAGAGGGGTCCTGTTTCTTGGAGGGCATCTCACTGGAACCCTCAAGTGCTGACAGCATCTGACAAATGGGAGAAAGTGGAGGCAGTGTGAACAGAAACAGTGTGGGCTGTGGAGCAAACTTCCGTTTCAAACCTGGCTCGGTCACTCACTAGCTCTGTCACCTGGGACAAGTCACATAACTGCTCTGTGCCTCAGTCTACTCATTTGTAAAACGGGGATGGTGCCCACCTCATAAGATCGCTCTCAGATGAGGCAGTGTTTTTAAAACCACCGAGCCCACAAAGAAGGCTTTGGCAAATGGTACCCACTGCTGCTATTTTTTTATTATTTTTCCTCTGTCCCTCAGCTCTGGGCTGTGACCCAGACAGTCATCCTGCCCCATGAGCTCTCCCTGGGGAAAGCTGATCTTGTTTTGCCCAAGGCTCCTTCCCTTGAGGCTTTGGCAAAGGCCCAGCAGCCAGGACGGCTTGCTCAGCTCCCTCTGCGGCCTCAGCCCTGGCCTGCACTGTGAGCGCATGAGGCTGCACCCATCGGGGCCCGTGGCAATCCAACAGAGGAGGCAAGTTTCAGCGTTGTCCTTAAAGAAGCTGCAGGGCTTGGGCCTTAGCATTTGGGGTTGGGGCTAAAGTCTGGTCTCCAGTTGCTGAGGACAAATGACAGCAACCGAGAGGTTTTCAGCATCCTGAAGTGGATGCACTGTTAATTCAGCCCCTTGGCATCCTTGGAGTCCCGGCCGGTGCCTTCTGAGGAAGGCTTGTGGTGGGGCTGTGCCCTCTGACTTTCCCGTTCTGTGTGTTCCTTCTTTGAAGAAGCTTACTCCCCACATCTCACTCACACACACGCACACCCGCCTCAGGATGTCATGAGGACTGTCCCCTCCTTGCCAAGCTGTCCAGACACCCCTGGGGAGATCGGGCCATTCGTCCATGGTGCTGCAGTATTGCACATTTTTTTTTTTTTTTTTTTTTTTTTTTTTTGTGTTGTCTTTGAATGGGTTTTTTTATCATGGTGATGCTGGCTTCATAGAATGAGTGAAAAAGCACTTCTTCCTCTTTAATTTTTTAGAAGAGTTTGAGATGGATAGGTCTTCTCTCTTCCTTAAATGTCTGGTAAATTCACCTGTGAAACCATCTAATCCTGAACTTTTGTTAGTTGTCAGTTTTTAATTAATGATTCAATTTTATTACTGGAAATTGTTCTGTTTATACTCCCTATTTCTTGGGAGATTGTACATTTCTAGGCATTCATCCATTTCTTAAAGATGGTTAAATCCGGGGCACGAACCCGCGTCCCCTGCATCGGCAGGCGGACTCTCAACCACTGCGCCACCGGGGAAGCCCTGCACATATTTTTACATGCCTCCTTCTCCAGACTGCGGGTCCCTCTGGGGATGGGGCAGGGCGTACTCCCCTCAGGGTCCCCAGCAACCGGCAAGGGGCCAGCACACAGGAGAGGTGCTCAGTGAACTATCACTGAGTAAACAAATGGATTCTGCATGGCCCAGGAGTTGAAGGGAGAAATAGGCCTTTACTCAAACTGAGCCCACTCACACTTGTCCTTTGACAGCTCTGCTCTCCTATTTTGATTCTGGTGCTGCTCCCAAGGTCATGCAGTCCATTTCCAAGCAGTCCAAAGGGTCCAAAATGCTCCCAGTGAATGGTGGCCATCCAGATGCTGATGGCGGAGCTACTGGGGGGAAGGGTGTGAGAGGAGGGGTCCGTGGAGCCTGGCTCTGCAGGGGGAGGGAGGGAGAAGAGCCCGTTCTTGTGGGTTTCTGGGGACCCTCTGCCACCCGTCCCCCCCATCCCCCATGCGGCAGGGTTTGAGCCTGAGTCTCACCTCCCCAACCCCTGTTCGCTCTCCTTGCACCTCAGGAGTACGTCGCCTACAGCCACACTGGCCGCATCATCCCCGCCATCTGGTTCCGCTATGACCTAAGCCCCATCACGGTCAAGTACACGGAGAGACGGCAGCCTCTGTACAGGTTCATCACCACGGTGAGTGGGCGGGGTGCCTGCTGTGAGCACCCCAACCGGTTCTCCAAGAAGCAGGATGCAGCCCACAGGGCTAGGGGCTCAGCCTGTCCACACAAGGCTGGGACCTCTAGGATGTTTAGAAATGTCATCAGAAGCACATCAATATCGATGGCGTTTCATCCAGAAACTCTTTTCCAGATGGGAATGCCACTCAATCACTTCGTTCCTTAAGCAATCCCATCTTTATATGGCTCAGTTGGATGTTCCTGATTTTCTCCAGTTTTTTATTTTTATGGAAATTGTTCTTAGCAGGGCTTATCCTTTTCTGTGTAAGTTTTACAGTGAAGATTTCACTCATTTTTTTCCATGTCTATTTTCTAACTCTAGCTGCCGATTCTGTCAGGTTTGTTTCTTTCCTTCCTTCCCGCCTGTTCTCTTTTTTCTTTTTTGCCATTGTCTCCACCAAGTCCAGTCTTCTGTGAGGCAGCTTCAAGCTGATGTCAGTTTTCTTTGATGCTGACTGTTTCTATCAAGTACTATCCTGGCTTCCCATTGAAAATGTCCTTGGGGTCAGAACAGCCAGGTCACAGTGCCCTGCTCCAACCAAGAGGCCTGGAGAAATTCGGTAAGCCAGAGTCAGTGAAGGTGGAAGAGATGAGGTGATTTTCCCTCCCTCCTAGATTTAGAAACTGCTTTTCTACCTCTTCATACTTTTAATAATGATTCAGAATTCGGTGTCCAGTCTTGGCTCTTTCATTTCCTGCTCTGACTAGGTCTGTCTTAGGACTCTTGTTACAGAAGAGACAGGACCCCACACCAAGCTGGCTTGAAGGATAAGTGGGCTTCAGGTATGGCTAGATCCAGGTACAAATGTCTGGAATAGGTCTGTCTTCATCCTGCTCTCCTCTGTACTGGCTTCATTTTCACATAAAATTTACCAATAGAAAGTACCTCTTTCTCAGTAATCCTACCCCAAGTTTTGGATAGAATGGCACTGTCATTGGCCTGGCTCAGGTCCCATGCTATCCTTGTGGCCTGGAGAATGAATGGTGTGCTCCAGTTGGCCAGCCCCACCCAGACTGCAAGGACAAAGATTACGAGGGGGTGGGGTTCCCCAAGAGAAAAATCAGAGGCCAGTTACCAGAAGAGGAAAGACTGGATGCTAGGCGGCCAAAGGGCCAGATGTCCACTACAAGGTCTCCATCTTATAATTGATGAAATAGGAATAACAGTCCCCACTTTTCCTACCTCCCAGGGCCTCGTGGGACTCAAAGCAGATTACAAAAGGGAAGCTCTGAAATTATAGAAAGCCATGTGGATACAAAGGGTGGCAAAATTTGGTGCTTATAGGAGCCTCTAAACGGCCTTTTACTGTTCTCTTGACTCCATAAAAATTTGAAACTTCTTGATCTACCAAGGGCACCTAACATAAAGCTAAAACACCAGACACAGATTGGGAGAAGATATTTGCCACACATATAAGGAAGAAGTATGCTTCAGAATTTATACGTTTAAAAAAAAAAATCTCTACGAATCAGTAAGAAAAAGTGACCAAAAAGAAAATAGGTAAGGACTCGACCATTGACAGAAGCGACCACACTGGCAGTGGAAAGACGCCCAAGTTTACTAGATATTGGAGGAATGAGATTCAAAACAGCCCAATTCAATCCTATCAGATTGGCAGAAATTAAAGACCTGCCACTGTAAAGATTGGGAGGATGCAAAGCGAGGGGACCTGTGTATACTATCTGGTGTAAATGGGGTTAGCCACTTTGGAGGGATACATATTAACCCTTTGGCTCCAAATCAGGGAATCTGTGAGCAAGTGATTCTACCCAAGGCCCCACAGGGTAGCACACTAAGTGGGTCTTGGCGCTGATTCTCAGCCAGTACGCTTACTGCATACCCAAAATTGAACAGAAGCGAAGACACGAGGAGGTGCCTCTGTGTGGGCGTGGTCTGCATCTCAGAGGCCCCGGGGTCTGCGGCCTTGATGGTGGCAGAGAAACCCCTGTGCCCACACCTCACTATAGGGTCGGGAAGGATCTTCACGGCCCCCTTCCTGTTTCCCCTGCATTCCAGACAGCTGAGGCTCTGAGTTGTTGAGATCGCTTGGTAAGTGGCTGAGAAGTGAAGCGACTTCATTTATTTGCTAAATGTCTGCTAAACTTTACCATGCGCCAGGCCCTGTGCTTTGCAGCAGGGATAGCAAGTTAGATGCAATCCCTGCTCCTAAGCTGCTCCCCGGCTGGTGGGGGAGATGGGCGAGCACACAGAACTGCAGCCCCATCCAGCAGGGGCTCCGATGGAGCTGTGCCCCAGGTACCCCAGTGGCAGACTCCCTTCTGTTTGGAAGGTTCAGAGAAGGAAACCCCAAGATGGGTCTTGAAGGGTGAGGAGACGTTTTTTAGACTGGTGAGTGAGGGAGAGAGGTTCTTAGCAAAGGGAATAGTACATGCCAGGGTGCCCAACATAGCGTGTCTTGTGAAGGCCATGTGGCTGCTTTCAATGGGGAAGGAATTCTGAGAGCTGGAGGTCCCAAACACCCCAGGGGAGGAGCCCGTCCTGCACGCCAGCCCTGCCCACCTCCACCTGAGTGGGGGCCGTGCTTCTGGGAACCTCCTGACATCATTAGCCTAGTGGTTTTTCTGAAGGCCCCCTGCTGCCATTTTGGTTGCCACGACAACCGTGGGGTCAGCCCAGGGTGAGCCAGCCGGCTGTCCCTGGCAGATGGTGTCATTGTGGAGCTTCAGAGGCCTCTGTCACAGGGCGGCAGATGTGGGGGATGACGCTTGCACACAGACACACAAGCACAAAGACCCTCGGGAGCCCTCACCAGGCAGGGTGGAGGTGGGATGGAAGTGGAGGCACCTGCTGAGACTTCTCTTTCTCTCTTTATGGAATCAAACACTTGTGTGCATTGGGGGCCTCTGCAAATAGCTCCTCAGAGGGGCTGCTGAAGAGGGGGCTTAGGCCAGGATGTTGTCATGTGGCGGCCACAGGGCTGCGGCGGCAGCTGTGGGTGGGCTGGAATGAGGGGTGGGTGCAGCCAGGGGCAGGGGAGTGGGTGTGGAGGGGAGAGGCATTCTAAGTAACAAGTACCTGGCTTAGTTGGGGTTGCCCCTTCCAGGCTCTTGTGGTCTGGAAAGGACCTTTTTTTCATGCCCTGCCTGAACAGAGGGGACGCCCTCCTCCTGGAAGCCTCCAGCAGGCTGCCCGGGCTCCTCTCTGGACACCCAGGGCACCTTGCTCAGACCTCCACTTTGTGCTATTCCAGAAAATTCCACCACTGAGAGAATAAAACAGATGGTGTTTAACAACATGAAAGGGATCCCTTTCAAAGTGCCCCCTCCCACACATGCACATTTGTCCCCTACCCCTGCCACTTGCTGGAGCCCCTTTTTGGAGATGGCCTTCAAGTGGGTGGTGGTGACAGATCGGGTGGCTTTGGAGGTGTCACATCACTTTCCTTGTGTGTGTTTTATTCTGTTTGGGGGGAGCAACCATTAGTCACCAGGTACCAAATTGGGTCAGTATGGCCATGACATTTTTTGTCCACGAAAAAGTAGCAGCTGGTGATGATGACATGCCCCCTTTGGATAACAGGGATAGCTGAGTTAAACATCATCCCTGCCCTCAAGGTGCTCCTTGCCAGTGAAATAATCCCCCAAAGTTTAGATTGCATTTCTTAGTTGCCAGGCCTGATTATGATGAGCTCCAGGCCTGACTCACCTCTGTGTCCCTAGCATCTGGCACAGGACTTGGCCTGGATGTAGGTGCTTAGAAATATACAAGGGATAGCTGCTTAAAGAAGTGATCATATAGCTGCACTTATTAAGCATCTACTAGGTGCCAGGCAATTTTACAGTCCTCTCCTTTAACCCTCCCAGGAACCCTCCAAGGTAGATGATATCATTCCTGTTTTAGATATGAATTAATTGAGGCCCAGAGAGGTAAAGAAACTCTTCCAAGATCTCACAGCCAAGAAAGTCAAGGCTGAGACTTGAGCCCCAGACTTGCCTCTGCCACATCCTCCCATCACCAGCTTGGGAGCCTTCATTTTCCAAAACAAAGGCTCTCAAGGATGTTCCAACAACAGAGCCCCCAGAAGCCATGGAGCCCTTGATAGAACACCAGGATCATTTGATACAGTGACTTCTGTCCTGGAAATCAAGAAGAAATATTATAGCAGGAAACTAGGCAATATTATGAGCATGTGTGATAAAATCACAGTCACGCCCATGCAAACCATAAAAAAAGCAAACTGTCCATCTAAGACTGGTTGGCTGGTGGTGCGCAGGTTTTCCTGCCCTTATCTGGTTACCTTTCACTCATCTGTTTGGGCACCTGCAAAGATTTTCCATTGACAAAAGGCAGCAGGTGTGTGGAGTGGGGGGCACATAGGATGGTTAAAAACAAAAACAAAGAACTGAAGGGAGACAAACTTAAAACTGAGAAGGTTTTACGTCTGAGGCTGTGTGAGTTGGGAAAAGATCAGCTTGGTAGCCGGACTGATACAACAGCCGCTTCAGACCCTCCATTCTCTCCTACTTGGGCTTTCCTCGGTGTGTCTCTCTTCCCAGGACTGTGAGCTCCAGGAAGGAGGGCTGGCTCTCAGTCACCTCTGTTCCCCAGACCTGGCATAGCCCGGGCAGGTGATAAGTGGGTGTGAAACAGTGAGCAGACACATGGAGGGTGTACACCTTGGTCCACTCCCCACAAGACAGTTGCTGTTATCTGAGGAGCAGAACAGAACCCAAATTAGCTGCCCTGTTATTCAGGCCTGGAAATGTGTATGTAAAAAAAACACTTGCATTCTGGTCCTTCCGGACGTTTGAGCAAAGCTAGTTCTTGCAGAAGCTTGTGTACCAGGGACTGATTGCTCCAACTGAGTCTGAACACCAATATCACAGTTGGAACAGGAACTGCTGGTACTTGGTTTCCTAGGGCAGGTTCTGAGACGAATAAGGAATATTAGAAAGGCATGGGCTCCATTTTATAAACTACACTTACTTTTACAG